GCCACCCCAATCCTTGCGCCAGGATCGGTGGCGCCGACCGACTCGCCGAGCGTCAAGGAGTCAGGAAATGAGGATGAGGACTACGAACTCCTTGAGGTAGATGGGAGCAAATTCCAGGCGGGTTTGCAATCGAATTTTCGGAAGGCAGCATGGCACAGCCATTTTTTGTGGCCGGACAAGGCCAGTCTCGTTTCTCTTCAATTGGTGCAGGAGATGGCCTTGTCAGAAGAGGTGGTGACAGCCATGCAGGCTGTTTGGGCTAAGTGGATCGAGCAGTGTGGAACCAAAGAGATAGCAGGACCTGGGCTCTCAGGGTGGATACCGCGCAGTGCGCAGTCGCCGAGTCGCTGAAACTCTTTTCTTGGGATTATGGTATGCCATGCTGAGATTGCCAAGCGCCATGCTGTGTACTGTTTGGCAGTCTTGGCAGGAGATGCTTTCTTTACCATGCTGTTTGACACGGCCCCCAGCCTGCAGACATCTTTTCGCAGCCCAAAGGCGTGGACGGCGCCATACTGTGCCACAGGGTTTTTATTTATATACACCCTCTGCTCTTGGAACTTGACTTTTTCAAGGTTCTCAAAACAAAGCCAGGTTCCCTGCTCGAGGGGCATATAATATGGCGTTTCTGAACATGTTTTAGGTTTTTGTAGAGCGGACTCCTGACTCAAGTGACTCCACACCTCTTCGCTATCACTATGGTTTCAATTGCACTCAGCACCCACCACAAGGGAACTTTTTGATCCAACCTGCTGGAACAGCGCACTCAGTAGACTAGAACCTGGTAGGGGAAAGCATCAAAACTGGGCAGGCCGTGCTCTCCATGCTGTACATGAGCGCCTTCAGTCAGGTCGTTGTCCTTCTTGATCAGCCTTCGCTATTGAAAAGGGAGATCGAGGTGGCTTTGGTTTTCAACTATTTTCCTTTGACGGCTGAGGTTCGGGAGTGGTTGTCTCTTTCCCGACCCCCCCCTCAGAGGTCCACACCTTCCCCCCTCCAAGTGAGGGCGTTTCGCAGAGTCGCAAACAGGTTTGAACCTGACCAATTCTTGCGCAAGCCAAGACGGCGCCACGAAGTCTTAGAAGGTTGAAACACAATACCATATTCCCAATCTCACACAGGTTCGTTTAAACATTGAGTGGTTTTACTTTGTTTGAAGAAAACATGTAAACCTAGGCATGATTTTTGGAGGAAGTCTCGTTTCGTTTTGGAGACTGTACGCGCGAATTTTGGAGGAAGTCTTGTACAAAACGCTTCTAGTGTGTGGCACTGGGCAGACAGTGTGGCGAATTTACGTTCGTTATGTCGCAGTGCCATGTGGATTTGCGCGGCCTTGGTGGGATGTGCGTTTGCGTGGCGCCGTGCCACTGGGGAGCGCGAAACATGCTGGTGTAAACGCGGCGTGTCGCTGGTGAGCGGGATGATTGGTGGTATCGTGTGATATGTTTGCTTCCAGTGTGTGGGCAGTGCGTGTGGCGAAATTATGTTCGTGATGTCGCACTGCCATTGGGATTTGTGCGGCCTTGGTGGGAAGTGCGTTTGCGTGGCGCCGTGCGACTGGGAGCGCGAAACATGCTGGTGTAAACGCGGCGTGTCACTGGTGAGCGGGATGATTGGTGGTATCAAGAGTGTCCCAAAAGAGTGCCCCGCAAGAGCTTCCTACAAGAGTGACCCACAAGAGTGTCCCACAAGAGTGTCCTACAAGAGTGTCCCGCAAAATTTCCCACAAGAGTGTCCCACAAGAGTTTCCTACAAGAGTGACCCACAAGAGTCACAAGAGTGTCCGACAATAGTTTCCTACAAGAGTGTCATTTGGACATATGTAGCTTTTCGAACGTGTTTGCATTCGGGTTCGTGGGCTCCATCTGTTTTTTTTGCGAGCGAGGCCTTAGCCTTCAAGCATTTGGAGGTGGAGGTCACAACCATGAAGGTCGCCTTCTTTCGAGAGGCTCTCGCTGAGGCCTGGCGGATCGGATTTGGGATGAGGAGAGGCACGATCACAGAGAGCGGTCTGAGTTTGTCGGAGTTCCTTAGATCTGTAGATTGACATGATTTTTCTCATTCTCAAAGTCCACACTGCAAGACCTCTTGGGCACAAACTCGGGTGCCCGAAGGTCCTTGAAGAGTCCTTGGGAGGAAGCTTCACTCCACCCGCGCGTGCTGGCTTCTACAATTTGATGAACTACGTGGGCAGTGCCTTCATGTATGTGAACCACGAGTATTCTGAACGAATCAAACTTGTGCTGAGCAGTTGGAACGCTGTGCAGAAGACCACCGCCGAGTCCTACGCGAGGGCCGATGCAGTTGATGCCGAGAGCCAAGCTGAGGAGAGTGTACACGAAGATGCGGAGCCGACAGTGAAGAAACCTCAGGAGCCTAAGAACATCAAAGAGGTCAAAGAGCAACAAAAGGGCAAAGAGACCAAGGAGGCTGAGACAACTATGCTCAAAATGGATCCGGAGGTGAAGGTAGATATGAAAATACCGACAAGCTTCAATGAGATGATCCTCTTCAATGCATCTGTCATGGGTTTTGGAGGGAGCCACTGGATGAAGATCATGTTGGTTCAGTTTGATGATATGGTACGGAGTGTGGGGAACTTCTGTCGATTGCAAGAAGAGTGCGACGTGATGTGTTTAGTGCTTGCCAAGTACAAGGGGCCTATTGAGTTGCCAGAGTTCAAGGCAGTGGTCTTGGCATCCTTGCGGTCACTGTTGCCCGACAAGTGGGACTCGGAGCACGAGGTTGCGTGGTGTTGGCTTTGGGAAAACATGGAAGGCCTTCTACGGGCCTCGCTGGGCAAACCCGCTGTACAAGAAGCCGCGTTGACCTGCTTCTACCAAAGTGAGCCTGAAAAGATCCAGCGTTTCACGCATCAAATTTTCCCAGCCTTCTTGGAGATCACGCCTGCTGGCCAGGAATTCCTGAAGCAATCCTCAACTCGTCTCCTGTTCATCTCAGACAAGATCACATCCCTTCTGCTGGAGCTCTACCGGTTTCCTCTGAAGACGGTGGAAGAGAGCTCAGCGCAAGGCTTGAAGCACGTTGGCTATGGAATTCCCACAGACATGTTTCCACCCTTCGTCACTGCTGCCACTGCTGTAGTGGCAACGCCCCTTGCACCAGCAAACAAGACTTTTTTGCTTCTGTGGACATTGCCAATATAATTGTTATTGTCAAGCATCTTTTGTCAGCCCAGAAGGTCCTCCCTTCTCCTTCGCTGTGTTCATGAATTTGCCCAGGATCCAGGCGCTCGCAGCAAGTGAAGAAGTCGTCGAGGCTGTCCGCTGGGCCGTCGCCCTGATCGCAAAGATCATAGTGCGCACGCTGGGGGAAGGCTCCACGTTGGTGATGAAGGCCATCCACGCCAACGTGAGGTTGGGGCCGACTGTTTGATTTCTGATTTCGTTCTATTGATGTCGAGTGGTGGACATGTGGTTCATGTTTCCCGCTATGCCTATGCTTTGGCACTCTTTTCTTCTTCTGCACGGATTGTTGATCAGACATGCTGAGAAGGGTGGTGCTCGGTACCCTTATGTGGGGCTTTGTGTCGGTTTTGTTTGAGGCCAGTCAGCTCCGTGTCAGGGGACAGTTGAGGAAGGCCATTGCGATCGTCCCGCGGTGTCAAAGGGCTCACGAGGTGCTGAACATCACAGCAGGACCCGGACTGAACAAAAAGAACTGATCATGAGGAAGTTTGTTTTCGTTTTGATTTGGGTACAGGCTTGTGTAGTAGATTTGTTTCGAAGTCTTGCACAGCAAAGCTCGCGCTGTATACATATTTGCCACATATCATATATAGGTGTTCATTTTATTGGAATTGCTTTCCTCATCCGGGGCATTTGGTCAGTACAATTAAACCAGTATGTATTCGTTCGTGCGTGGTGCGACTCAATTGCATCCTGTAATACAGATGTGGCATGGAGCGCAATTGTGAGGGAAGTGTCTTTGTGGCATTGACAATTGATGAGCGGAGCTCCGAGTCTTATAGATAATATTTAAGTCCACTTGAAGCATTTATCCGCCACAGCCTGTCACATTGAAGGATCCCAATCAATTTCACCCTTCTACTGGGCCATCGACAGTGGCAGGCTGATCTGTGCTGAGATCATTTTGCAAGATTTGCTGATGATCCGTGCTGACCGTGATGTTCTTTGGCCAAGTGTAAATTCATAAATAATGTCTTGAGTTCCCCTGACAGGGGAAGAGTCAGTCCAGAAGGAGCTTGCGTAGGGAGTTGGGGGGGGCTTCTTTGGTGGAATGGGCCTTCCTGAACTCTTGGGCGGTTGAGGTCTACTACTATGGCTGTGACAGCCTCTTTGCTTACCACCCACGCGTGGTGCAGCGTCTTTGCAACACGGCCCCCACACTGTTGCACACGCTGATGGACGGCCTTGTATGGCGCTCCCGGCAGACGCGCCAAGGGTGGCGCCGGGTGAACTACTATGTGAAGCACTTGCTGAAAGACTCGAACGGTGACATCAGCCCA